TCTGGAGGCGGAGGGTGGAGGAGGCCGCACAACAGTGCGAATGTGCTTGATCCACTCAACTGATAAACAGTTAAAATAGTAAATTTTATGTTATGTACTTTACTACAATTAAACATTTTTAAATTTAAAAAGAACAGATAAACATGTTTGAAACTGCAAGCCCAGTTGGTATCTAAACAGCGTCAATACCTCCTCACAAACAGTCTAAGTGAGTTGCAGTGTTTGACATGTATAACTGCTGCATGAGATACGAGGAGAATGAAATCCAGGTGATCAGTTCTGAGTCCGTTATGTGTCCAGACTCCCACCAAACACCTGCATAAAAGGAGAAACTCCTTTGTTCCTCAAGCGCAGTAGCCATTCGTGCATTTTTCTGGGACAGGAGCAATGACTGCAGTCCCCACGAGAGGGCAGTTGTTTCTTTTTTCCCCCCAACGTGGACATAGGCCTTCAGCTGTCCCAGACGGTGCTGAGAAGGCCGAGCTGTAACAAACTCCGCCGTCGGCTTGGTCAGTTCCATATCAGACAGATGAACAAAAAGGGGTTTGTCGTTAATAGTAACAGGAGGATTCGTTGCTCCGGACATTGCTAAGTGAAGAGAGGGGCCTTCCAGCCCTGGAGGTGAGGACCGGTGCGTGGCTCCGAGCTCTAGATGCTGGGGAGTGAGCCACCTTCCTACGCTTCAGCTTAAAATAGTTTTGAGACCCAGCAGGAAGTCATTCTGGAATGTACGCCTCTTGCACAATTTAGTGCCTGTTTCGGGGGGAAAGTTGTTTAAATTACAACATTGTTTGACAACAGTTTTACTATGTAAAGGATGCTTTTTAAACAAACCTAAGCCCTGGCTGAAGCCTGCATTGTTGGAGTGGGCCGCCGACTGGGTGGCTACCTGCGGAGGGTTAGGCCTGGCGAACTGACCAGAAGCAGTTTATGTGGTCAAGTTCAACAGCCTGCCTACTGAAAACGGCAAGAGTTCCCAGATGTTTCCAGCATAAATGCGATATTTTTGATAACCGTTGACAATCTTACTGAATGTATGCTTTATGGCTCTCTGTCATTAATGGACAGTGTTATTCATACTTAAACATGTTCAATTAAAGCCTTAGGACATTGGGTTTAACTAGTCATCTGCATCTACGTTTTGCCGATCCTTTTATTGCAGTTTATCTCCCCCCAACTGAGTGTATTCGATAAAACAGATTTTAAGTGGCAGCCTAGTTATGATGCTACTTTAGTAGGTTTGTATCATGGCCAAGGCATGGCTGAGTATGAGCCTCGAGACCTTAAATCGTTGTCTTTTATAGAATGCACAATTTAGGATTTCAAAAGACACATGCTGGTTTTTTCTCAGCGGTTGCAGGTGGAATACCACAGAGGACACGCAGAGGGCTTGTAGAGACAAAACGACTGCAAAAAGGCCTCTTAATTGAGCCCCGATGCCCGGGAATCAGCTGCCAGAGATGGATAGGAAGGCTCATGGGGAAATGTGGCTCTAAGGAGCAACCAAATGAGCTGGAAGGCACGTTGCTGTCATTTCCTGCTCGTGGGGTATGACAATTTGTGTATCAGCCCAAAGGTCGCCGATTAAAAGACTCATCCTGATCATCATAACTGCATCCCAAGACTCAGTGAAATAATAGCAGAAAATAGCGTGCTTGCCAATGAATTACTTTATTTTACATCGATCATCATTGGTCACGTTGTCTACAGGTGACACCCAGTCCTCTGGGGGTGGGGTGCCTTCTGCTCCAGGGCAGCGTCACCTGTCATTTGGGTGCACACTTGTCCCTGCACCGGTCACCGGTCACTCCATCCGTCTGGGCCAGCGGGGTTCCTTCTCCTGAAGGGTCGCTCTGTATACATCCCACCACTCCACATGCCTGACATTCACCTGGGGCCATCATCTTGGGGGAAATTCCAGCTCCTTCGAGGCCCTCCACCCCAGTGGGTAAGAATTCTCTCTGGGTGTTGGGATTACCTAGGGACCTTGTGAAAAACAAGCTCCTGGACCTCCCAGGCCCACAGAATTAGAATCTTGGGAGGTGGTTCTGAAGAATCAGCATTCCCCGGTTTTATGGGGAAGCCCGCTCCGGGGCCGCTTGCTCTCCAGGCCGCATTCCTTAGCTGCTTTCACACATGTTGGAAAAGCTAGAGAGACATTCAGCAGGCAGCCCTAAGCCTTTCGTTCTGGATGGTTGTACCCCAGAGCCACTCAGCCTCTCTCTGATGGCCTGTGCCCCGGCCATTGTTCCAGCGGGAATGGAAGGAGGCAGAGGCTCAGGAAGCGACATGACCCGTGCTGTGGAATTTGCCAGGCACCAAGGTAGTGCACTCAGGGACGGGAGCGCACGCAGCAGCTGTTTCACGGTGTCAGAGCACAGCCCGTGACAAGGAGAGTGGACAGCGAGAAGATCCAGGATCTGCGGACCGTAGGGAAGGCACTGCTTCAGGCTGGTGGTAGACTTGTTGCAGAGAGCAGGGGCCATTTCAAAATGCAAGTCTGACTATGCAGACTTGTGTGTCCTATGTCGGGGCAACAGGCCACTCTGAGTACCACAGACCCACAGAATGAGAGCAGCCAGTTCTTCTTAGAAATGATTTTTACCATTTACTGTGACAGGACAATCTCAGCACGCATGGATGGATGGATGGATGGATGGATGGATGGATGGATGGATGGATGGATGTGGCTACTTGCTCATATTTTTTAAATTTTGTTTTTTAAAATTCCCTAAAGAATCAGAAATTAGTCATGGGAGGGTAGGGCCTTCAAATGTTGGGCAAATGGAAATTAGTTTACTAATCACAACCTTTTATCTAAATGAAATGGATATTACAATGCTTCTTAGTGCTATTTTCCAGCAACATTTTTTTTCTTTTTCTTAAACATTTTTTAATTTTTTGAGGTATAAATTACCTACAGTAACCTCCCCCCCTTTTAAATGTATAATTTTATGAGTTGTGACAAATGAATGGTCATGTATCCATCACCACAATCAAGACAAGGAGAGTCTCCATCATCCCAAAATCCCGTTGTGCCCTACTCCCAGCCCCTAGCAACCACTGGTTTCTTTACGCCCCTATGGCTGTCATTTCCAGAGCATAATATAGACAGAATCATTCAACATAACGACTTTGAGATTCAGTGCTG